AATGGGACTGTGAAAACCTCACCATCAGACATCTCCAAAGCAACTGCTGGGTGCACCACCCTCTCCCTTCTCCTGCAGGCTTTAAAAATAATAGCATCTAGGTGGGCCAGTGTAGCTCAGTGGTTCAGCATCGACCTATGAACCAGGGGGTCATGGTTCGATTCCCGGTCAGAGCACATGTCCAGTTGCGGGTCAATTCCCAGTAGGGGCGTGCAGGAGGCAGCCAATTGATGTGTCTCTCTCATCGACATTTCTATCTCTCCCTCTCTCTTCCTCTCTGAAATCAATAAAAATATATTTTTTAAAAAGTCATGCAGCAGGAGTTAAACTTGTCTAGCTTGAAAAGTATATCATGATCTGACTCAAGATTAAGGACATATAACAAAAAAGCAAAAGCAAAATAAAAGAACCACCCCCAACTACTTCCTGGAGTTCCCCTCGCTTGATGTAGCTCTGCCCAAGGCTGGCCCTGTGGAGGCCAGAGGGCAGGGACCTTGAGTGCCCCCTTGGTCCTGGACCATCTCCAGCAGCTGAATCATCTGGGCCTCCATGCTCTTCAGCTTCTTCTCGTTCTCCTTGGCCTGCGCCAGGATCTCCTCGCGGGAGGCCAGTGTGTCATCCAGCTCATGCATGTAGTGCTTCATCTGGGCCTGTGGGGGGAGGAGACGCTTGATATCAGCACCCTGACCCCAGTGGCCACCCATGTCCACCCCACCTCACCTCCCACCTGCCACCCCATCCCAGAGACAACCGCCAACAGGGGCTTGTGACTGGCTTTTTCTTGACACCACAGGGAACCAGCTTAACTAAAGTGGCAAAACAGTAACTAAAGACAAAATGTTCCTTTACCCGACACCAGCAACATTCAACCTGTGCCACATGAATTTTTAAAACATGCCATACGTGACTATTTAGACAGGGGCACTGACCTCATTTCCCTCAAATGAAAAAATGACAACAGCCAATATAACCATAGCTGTATCATGTGAATGAATCAAGATTATACCTTTTTTTGGCCAGCTCAGCAAAAATTTAATACCTTATGGTGCGCTGCAGAAATTTAGTAATTAGCTTAAGTTGCCCAGAGAACAGGATTGAGAATCGCTGCCCGACACCGTTTTACACTTGTTGACCGTCAGGATCTATGCAGCATACCCTAGGCAGCGTCCGTCACCGTGTCCATAGGACCCTCGTGGCTCGTGTTTCACTTCCTACAACTGCCTGTTG